TTCTGTCTCCAAAGAGGGATGTGTCAGGGGCAAGAGAATTAAGCAGGGGCACCTAGACAAATGATTGGCCTTCAAAGCAAGGGACTCTCAAAATCCAGAGCTCAATTTAGAAATCTCAGATCACGGGGGTTCCTAGTCACTGTTAAAGAGAGCTGTTCTCTCCTGACAGTCGAGGCTGGGACTGCTGGGAAGCTGATGCAGAACGGGTAGGTTTCCAGGGACCAGCAGTTAGTGTAACGGCTATGTCGCTCAACTTCCATGTAGTCGACCGCAGCTTGAGTCCTGGACCCAGGGGCTTAAACTCATGCCGGGCGTGTGTGCCTGCGTGCCCAAGATCCCGAGAGGAGAATGGAGGAGATTGCGGTGTGGCCATCCCCCCTTGGGGGTGATTTCTCGCTTTCTGTCTGTCTCTGTCTTTCTGGCGAGCGCACGTGCCCTATAGCAAAAATCTCTCCAAAACAAAACAAAACAAAAAGAGAATGGGTAGGTTTCCATACATTTGGTTGTGATCCAAGAGGCTGGGTCAGAACTGAAAACTGCTTTCTCTCGGTCTGGTACCCCAGGTAATCAGATATCTGACATCCCTACATCTCACCTCCTCCCAGAGGGTGGCCTCTGTGGCACCCTAAAAAGAATCAAGTTCTCTGGGCTCTGTAGGAGCTCTGAAGATTTTGGGGCAAGGGTGACAAAGGAAAATTCCTGTAAACTTTAAAGCCAGGCTTGCCAATAGAATTTTCCGTGATGAGAATGTCCTACATTTGTACTATTCCAATATCGTAGACACCAGCCATACGTGGCTAGTGGGATCTTGGAATGTAGATGATGAGACTGACAGGATTTTTAATTATATTTCATTTAAATTTTAATAGCGACACACGGCTAGTGGCTACTGTATTGGATGATAAATCTCTAGGGCTTTGGGGCCAACAGGTGATGTGGTGGTCAAGATGTTGGGTCCCACATGGCCGACTCCATTGTTTGCGTCCTGGACCCGGCAGCTTGAAAAACCACACAGGGTGCGTGTGCATGAGTACCCAAAATCCCAAGAAAAGAATAGAGAAGAGGGGATTACAGCGTGGTCATCACCCCTGGAGAGGGTGATTTATCACTTCCCCCCCCCCGCCATGAGTGCAAGTGCCTTATGCAAAAATCTAAAAACAAGACAAAACAAAAAACTCTAAGACTTTTATGAAAATGGCCTTAGCTATGCAGCTTTGGAGCAGGAGCAGGGACATGTTAGTCCCAGCCGTCATCAGGCTCTGCGAGTGCCCAGCATCAGGGACAGGGCTAGGGTGCACGGCCTCCAACAGCCACAGAACACTTCTGTCACTTTTTTATTCCTCATGCAACTTTGTCCCCTCTTTTTCCAAGGTCCTCATCACATTCTGATACCCCCACTCCTTGATGGTCTCCCCTGAGTTGCTGGGTGCCTCTTGGCGAAGGCGTCTGGGAAACAGGGCTTCACACTTGTCCCTGCCCACTACTGTCTGTCTCTGGCGGGCATCAGAGACCACATGCCCTACCCGGGTGCCTGGTCCAGGGCAGTGGCACTTCCAGTTCATTTTGGGAGGCATGGACATCTGGCGATAGTTCTGGCAGTCTGGAGAAACCGTTTCTACAGGGTGGTACACCCAGTCTCGGCTGCCTGCCCGCCGGGAGGGTGGCTGCAGTTCAATGAGTACGGGTACCTCTGAGAAGGTCTGCAGGTTATTGGAGATCATTCGGATCTTAGAAGGGCTGGAATTCTGGTTGAGTGGGCTTGAAGTCCAAGTTACATGCTGTTCTGCATCGTCCTTCTGAGGCTTCTCGGATACAATTATCTTCCTTGGAGACAGTGTTGACTTTGGGATCTGGAGTGGGCCCAAGACTTGGACAGATTCAGTACCTGGAACAAAGCTTGGGTTCTTGTGGAGGCCAGGATCTGAGATAAGGCATGGATCCCTGTGGAGGCCAGAGTCCCGGGAGAGACCTGGAGTCTTAGGGTGGCTAGAGTCTTGGGCAAGGGCTGAGTCCTTACAGGGGCCAGGATCTTGGTTATTTCTTGAGCACTTGTGGAGGTTAGAGTCTTGACTATGTTTTGGGGTCCTGTAAATTCCAGTGTCTTGGGTGGGTTTAAATTTCTTTTCAACTTTGGTGTCTTGGGTGAGGCCTGGACTCTTGTGGTGGTCAGAATCTTGAGAACAGCCTGGAACCCTACAGACTCCAGCATCTTGGATAAGGCTTGGATTCTTGTAGTCTCCTGAGTCTTGCGTGAGGCCTGAGCCCTTATGGAGGCCAAGTCCTGGGTTCTTGGAGAGATCAGATTGCTGGGTAAGTTCTGAGCACTTGCTGACCTCTGAGTCTTGGGCAAAGTATGGTCTCTTCTGTGGTCCAGAATCTTGGGGAAGGCCGGGGTGCCTATGGGCTGCTGAATCTTGGACATTGTCTGTACTCTTGTTATCTTTGGAATCTGGAGAAGGACCTGGGCTCTTTTGGAGGTCAGTTGCTTGAGAAATATCTTGACTTTTGTAGACTACAGTCCCTTGGTTTAGTTCAAGATTCCTACAGGCTCCAGAGTCTTGCATAAAGTCTGAACCCTTCTGAAGGTCAGGTGTTTGGGTAAATGGTGTGTTCTTGTGAAGGACCAAGGGTTGTATTAGACACGGACTCCTGAAGACACTAGCACCTTGAGTAGGATTCAGGATCTTTTTGGAACCAGTCTCTTGGGCAATGCTTGAGTTCTTGTGAAGACCAGAATCTTGGGAAGGGCTTATATTCTTGCAGAGATAACGGTCTTGGGTGAGGCCTGGGAACATGCGTAGGCCTGGATCTTGAGCAAGACTTGGGTACCTGTGGAGACCTAGATCTTGGGTAAGTTCTGAGCTCCTGTGGGGGCCTGGATTTAGGGTAAGATCTGGGTTCCTGGGCATTCTGGAGTCTTTTGAAGGACACGAGGGCTTTTGGAAGCCAGGGTCTTGGATAAGGCCTAGACTATTATGAAGTTCAGGGTGTTGAGGTTGGACCAGGGTTTGGGAAATGGTAGCAAACTGGGGAGGGATGGGGAATTGGGAAGAGGAAATAGACTGAGGAGACTTGGGGGCTGGAAGAAAGGTGGGGGTTTGTATTAAGATCGAGGGCTTCCGAGGGTTGGTGGGTTGAGGAAGGACAAAGGATCTGGGAGAAACAAGGGGCAGAGAAAGAGTGCATGGTGGAGTAAGTGTACTCAAGGTGCTCTGCACAGTGCTTGGAGAGTGAAAGCAAGGCTTAGAAGGCGTAGCATCCTGGGAATAGACCAGGAACTTGGGGTAGACTGGAGCCTGTGAGTCCGTGTTCTCAGAACTGCTAGGATGGAATCTGCAGTAAGGGAAGGTCTTGGGCTGGGAAAGCTTGTCTTTGGCATTATCTGAGATCTTCCATTCCATATTCCCCAGCTCCAGGTAGCCCAGTATGGATCCTGCAGGAGCCTTGGCACTGTCCCCACTGTGTTGCTTTGATGTTTGCTCAGGTGAACCAGAGCTCATGAGGCCCTGCCCCTCCTGGGGCTTGGAGAGGGTATCCAAGCCCTTTCTGGAATACCCAGAGCTCTGGGGGGAGCACATATGGAAGATATTCTGCTTTACCCTGCGGGCATCATAGACCACATGGCCTGCAGTGGAGCTGTGGCTGAGGGTGGCCAGGGAAGGGGAAATGGGAGTTAGGATAGGGTCTGTGGTGGTGATAGGGACGGGAGCAGGGACCGGAGTGGTAGTCAGGGCCATGACCAGTGCTGGGGCAGAGGCTGGGGAAGAAATTTGGACAGGGACTGGTGTAGGGGCTAGGACAGGAGCAGGGGTTGGGGCGGGGGTGGGGGAGTGGGTGTGGATTAGATGAGACTGGACTGGGGTATATGCTGGGCCATGGGCTGATGTGTGCTCAGGGCCCAGCATCAGGGAGTAGGCTGAGGCATGTTCAGAGTCCTGAGATGGGGACCGGGTTGGGACCTGGGCTGCTGTGTGGGCTGATGTGTGGGTTGTGGCATGGGGAGTAGAGGCCAAGGTAGGGGCTGGGGTGTGGGGCAGGGTCTGGACTGAGAGATGGGCTGACATGTGGGCTGGGGTAGGGGTAGGGGTGTGGGTGGGGTTAGGAGCTGGGGTCTGGGCTTTGGCATGGGCTGGTGCCTGGGCTGACGCGTGCTTAAGGCCCTTAGTCTGAGAGTGGGCGCACTCAGGGGAGTGGGCTGGGGACTGGGTCTCGGTGTGGACAGGAGGGTGCTCAGGGGTGTGAGCTTCGGTGTGGGTCTGTGCCTGGGCTGGGGTCTTAGTCTTGTTCTCATGGGGCAAGCGGAGAGGAACCATGTCCAATTTGCTCATCTTCTGGAACTGAGAAGGTGCCGCTGGCCTGGAGAGCAAGGAGGCTTTAGCCTTTAAGGTTGTGACCCGAGCGGCCTCCCCAGTTCCCATCATCCCCTCCTTCCACAGCCCACACGGGGCCTCCGTGGGAGCCCCAGCATGTCCACACTGAGGTGGCATCCAGCAGCACCCAGAAGCCTTCTCATCGTTCGTGTCTGGTATCCAGGAGTCCAGGTGGTTGGTGTGCCTGAGCAGGAAGCTCGGGCAATAATGGAAGCGAGGAGAGGCTCTGGAGCACAGGTTCTTGGGGTCCGCAGAGCAGCGCATGCACAGGGCGTGGCTGCCTATACCTCCGGGCTGCTTGTCTGCAGGGAGACAAGGTATGGGCAAGGCTTGGGTTCCCGAGGACTGAGAAGGGGGTCAGGCCCACATCCCCAGGAGTCCATGCTGGGGCCTACTCACCTTTTGGGAAAAAATGATGGAAAAGAATCCGCAAGGAGCTCTTCAGATGCCTCCAGAGCTGAGGGAAGCAGGGAAGGAAAGAATCCGGAAGTAGGGTGAGCCCCAAAGTCCAACCTGTGTCTGGCCACATCCTGGAAGCCCCCTCATCTCACCCCATTCCAGACCCCAGAACTCCCCAAACCCTGCTGCCCAGTCCCTGCCCTGACCAGAGTCACCACATTGATCCCCACGTTGAGCAAGATGAAGCTTCCCAGAATCAGAAGAATTGAGTCTCCAATGTCCTGACACTTCCTGGGGTTGGTGCCAGAGCACACGTGGACTTCATGGTGGGCTTGCTCACCCATGGCCTGGGGTCCCAGGACTACCTGGGCCCCCTGGCCCCCACATACTAGGAGCCAGACTTCTTTGATGGGGGAGGGAGAGACTGACCGAGTCATAATAGGGCAGATGGCTGAGGTCACAGTAAGGGAGACAGAGGAAGAAGAGGGCCTACAGTGGAGTTCCCTGGTAACCCGTTTTGAGAAATCTGAGCCTGGAGAGTCAAACAGGACCTGATGGCCAATGCATTCCCTCCTCTAGCTCAGTCCTTCCCTTGCTGCCCACTGGTTCACTTGCTCACACTCTCAATAATTCTATCGTTCCTTCAAGTGTCAGTTGCAAATCCTGAACTCTCCACCCTGACAACTCCTGAGAACGGGTAGACCTTGACGTCAGGGCCCGGGGAAGGCCGGGCTGAAGCCAGAGCCTCAGCTTTCTTCCTGCCCTGCACCGACTCACAGGTCCACATCTGCCCAGATGTGGAACCCAGGTCTGGATTCTGACCTCAGTTTCTTGAATGAGCCTCTGTATCCTTTGGGGACAGGGAGAGTGAAGAGACAGGGTAGGTGCCCAGAGACCGATGGCTTGGAGTCTGCAAGAGGTCTTAGTGGGTGGTACAGGAGCAGGAGGGGCCTGCTGGCAGGGACATGGCCACTAAGCCTGGAGACCCTCCATGCCAAGAATGGGGCACTGTTTTCTCATTCCAGGAAGTCAAGAGGCAGGGACCCAGGGCGGGAGGAGGAGCGGCGCTGCGGAGTCACAGACCTCCACCGCGCTTCCTGGACTCTGTTTCTCTTTATTCTTCTCACCCACCCACATTGCCCGCCGCTCATTTCAGTTTCCCAGTCCGGCTCCTGTGCAGGGAGGGCCTGGAGGCCGAGCTGGAAGGTGGAGGCAGTGAGCTGGCGCGCGCCCTGCCCTCCTGCACCTGCCGCTTCAGCTCCAGGCTGTCATACACCTGGTAGCTGGCATTGCCGCCTGGGTTCCGGCTGAGTGGAATGAACGGGGCCGGGGGTGGGGCGGGATCAGCAGCCTGGACTTCCGGCAGGGGCTGGGAGGAATGTGGGAGCAGGGCGGAGCTGGGAGCCGGTGCCCTTTGGCAGGAGGCCTCGCCCAGCACCGTGAGCGAGGTGGAGGTGGTCAGAGTGTGCCGAGTGGCCGGGGCCTCAGCCCAGTCAGCGGGCCGGCGTCGTAGTTCGTGGGGATCCCGGGAGCTGTAACCCAAGTGTCCCATGGATGGGTGGGGACTGCGGTTGGGCTGGCTGTGAGCATGGCCAGGGAGGCTTCGCCGGTGGGACTGTGGGGAGTAGTATTCCCGGTAGACCTGAACTTCCGGCCGGTAGTTTCGGGATGCCAAGACAGGTGGGGGCTCGGCGTCCTCCACGCCGTGCCGCCACTGATCCCAGGAGTCACACAGTATCTGGCCCCCTGAGGGATAAGGGCTGTGTCCTCCAGGAGCACAGGAGGGATTAGGGGGCAGCCGGCGGGAAGGTGGTGGAGACGGGGCCCGCTGCTCAGCCTCCTGGTTGCCCCAAACGTGGGACTGTGAGTGTGCGTAACGGGGCCCGTAGGACTGCAGCCTCAGCTCGGACTTGGCCTCCACACGCTTGGGCAGGCGGCGCAGCTCAGGTGACAGGTAGAGCGAAGGCGGTGGCAGGCTGGCCAGGATTCCACCCTGGCGGCCCCACAGTCCCATATTGGAGGGCAGGGCCATTTGCCGGTAGCGCCCAGCCCAGCCCCCACGTGGGCACTTGGGATGGGGGAAGGACAGGTCATCTTCCTCCTCCTCCAGGTCGGAGTCCCAGTCCTCTCTGTCAAAGAAGGGCACTGGCTGTGGCTGTGACTTCTTGTGGTTGTGATGTTGGTGACGGAAGAGTGAGCAGCCAGGGGGGAACCATCGGTAGTTCTGCGGCCTCTGCTGGTGGCTGCAGGGGCGACTCCGTTGGCGGCGTTGGCGTTGGCGACTGCGGCGGCTGCGGGGATGGTAGCAGGAGGAAGAGGAGCAGCGTGTGGGTTGGGTCATCTTGACCTGTACAGGGTCCAGGATGCAGTGGATGTGGACGTCCTGGGCCTTGGCTGGGGGGTCTTTGGCAGAACATTCATTAGCCTGGGCGTCATCTGGGGAGGCAAGAGTCCATGAGGTCCGGGCAGTTGTTAGAAGGGGAGGGGAGGCACAGGGGGGGCTGGGTTTCCAGGGCTGTGGGAAGTAGTGGGGGGGCATCTCTCTGGCTGCTAGACTTACTTTTCTGATTAATCCAGCAGATCATCTTGTCTAAGGCATTCTGGAGCCCATGCCACATCTAGCGGTGCGGTGGGGTGGCCGTCAGGGCTAGGCTCCCCACCCCCACCCCACCCCAGTCAAGACCGTTCCTGCAGGTGGAGGTGCAGGCTGCAGCTGGCTCCCCCGTCAGCCCTCTCCACCCCGGGGATGGCCTCCATCACCCACCACGGTTGCCACGTTGATGCTGATGTTGACGAGAACGGTGAGGCCCAGCAGCAGGAGCAGGATGTTCTCCGCATCCTGAGGGCTTTCCTGGTATTGACTGCAGCACCCCAGGTGGTCATGCCATAGCTGGTTTTCCATGGGGGGGGTCCTCGGGCCACTTGGGCCGCCCCCCCACCGACGCCACCCCCCCCTCCAGACCAGACCCACACTGCACTCATCCCAGCACCTGGAGGTACCTACGTGCTGGTGAGGGAGCCAGGTCACAATGAGGCAAGGTGGGGAGTCACAATGCAGAGGCGGCAGCTCCTTTATCTACCCTGCTGGTCCCTCATACGGCCATCTCTACCCTTGGCTCCCAGTCGGTAGAACCCAGTCCCCAGGGGCCCCAGAGTTCAGTTTGTCCTCTGTCTCCACGAGGCTTGCTTGACTTTGCACCTGATTCCCGATCTGAAAATTCAGCAGCCACAGCTACGAGAGTCTTTGCAGGGGTTGATTCGTGCATAAGGAGCTATTATCACAATTTAGGTAGCCTGCTTATGTGCCTCACCCCGTCCCCTTCGTCCCCTTCGTCCCCTTCGTGGCCAGCAGCTAGGATGGCTAGCTCGCTGACAGCAGGACCCCTCTGGGGTCACCTTGCCGTACCAGTCCCTATCCTGCCCATCTCCCTGTCCTAATTCCTGGAGGACCCATTCCTGCCAGCACTACCCACTCCTGGCCAGCACTGCAGCCCTAGCTGCTGCTGGTCCCTGAGCCCACGAGCCCTTCGGCTGGTCAGACCAGCTTCTGCCTTGCCCCAGTTGCTGCCGCTGCCAGAGACCGACCCCACACACAGGTAGTCTTCCTCAGCTGTTCTCTGCTGCCCCACCACTGCCTTCAGGTTCAAAAACTGTTAGCTGGGGCCAGCGAGTGGCATGGCAGTTAAGGCATTGGACTCCCACATGGCCGACTGCAGTTCGAGTCCTGGACCTGGTGTCTTAAAACTCACACCGAATTGGTGTGCGTACATGCCCGAAATCCCAGGAGGAGGATGGAGAAGGGATTGCAGCATGGCCATCCCCTCTGGGGAATGATTTCTCACTTTTTCTTTCTGTGTGTGTGTCTGTCTCTCTCTGGCAAGCACATGCACTCTATGGCAAAAAGTTGAAAAAAAGAAAAACCTGTTCGCTGGTGTCGGGGGTGGTGTGGTGTTTAAGGTGCTGGACTTCCACATGGCTGACCTTGAATCCCAGACCTGGCAGTCTGCTTTCTCACTCTCTCCCTGCCTCTCTCACTTCGGTGAGCACATGTGCCTATAGCAATAATACAATTGAATACATAATTTGTTAAAAAGAAAAACTGTTAGCTATCCCCTTAAGAAAACTGTACAGGGGCCAGCAGGTGGTGCGATAGTTATGGCACCGGATTCCCACATGGATGACCACTGCATGAATCCTGCACCTGGTGGGTGCTATCTCACTTTCCCTCCCTCTCTCTCTCTGGTGAGCCCGTATACCCTGTAGCAAATTAAAAAATAATAGTGATAACATTGCATAAATAACTCTTTAAATGCACACACACAGAGAATGGGGGCCAGCAGGTGATGTGGTGATTCCGGTGCTGGACTCCCACATGGCCGACTATGGTTCGAGTCCTGGACCTAGTTGCTTGAAAATCATGCTGGGCATGTGTACGTGCGCACCCAAAATCCTGAGAGAAGAATGGAAGAAAAGGGATTGCGGCATGGCCATCCCCTCTGAGGGGTGATTTCTTACTTTCCCTCTCTGCCTCTCTCCTGCAAGCACATGCACCCTATGGGAAGAACCTAAAATAAAAACAAAACGCACACACACAGAACGGAGAAACGGGACAGAAAGGATTGTGGCATGACCGTGTTTCATTGGGAATCCTTTTGCCCTGTCTTTCTCTCTGGTGAGTACATAACCATTCTGGCAATTAAAAAAAATTATTAAAAGAGAAAACTGTACAAAATGAACAAAGCAGGAACAGATGTAATTGCTGATGTGACAAAAGGAGTCTTTGATACAAACCAGGTTCATCGCTGGGGTCTAGGACGATGGCACCCTGGGAACTGAAGGTCATTTGTTTCTGCAGTGAACTACTAGCAGAGATAGAGAAAAGGCCAGTGAGCATTGCCCAGCAAGCCTCCCAACACATAATAGATGCTCAGTACACACCTACTGAATGGACACAGTTTAAAATGACGGACGTTAGCCGAGTGGAAATGGACGGAGAAGCAGGCTGATTCGTGTCAGGTCTGTCTGCTGACTTGCATCAGTGTGGAGGGTGAAGCCAGCTCCTTGATCCAGGAATCACTCTCATGAGGTTCCCAAGTTGTGTGTGTGTGCACGTGCACGGGGTCCTTGTCGTCTAGGTGAGGAGGGGCCTGAGTTTCCCTGCTGCCCAGTGGGTAGAATGTTCTTTTTTTTTGGAGAGGTTTTTTGCTATAGGGCGCGTGCACTCACTAGAAAGACAGAGAGATGGAAAGCGAGAAATCACCCCCTGGGGGCATGACCACGCTGCAATCCCTTCTCCTCCATTCTCCTCTCGGGATCTTGGGCCCGCACGCCCACGCATCCGGTGTGATTTTAAGCCCCCGGGTCCGGGACTCGAACCGCGGTCGACTACATGGAAGTTGAGCGACATAGCCATTATGCTAACTGCTGGTCCCAGAATGTTCTAATAAGTTTGCATGGTGGGCAGTTCCGATGAGCCAGGCAGACTCAGTGGCGATGGGGATCTACCTGCAGGAGGATGGGATGTTCTCCTTGGTGTCAGTGTGGCCATGAGCAAGTCACTGATGTCTCTGAGCCTCAGTCTCTGTGTGTCACAGTGGGCTAAGCAGGGGAGTGCGGTCACAGAGGGCTGGGACATTATGTTGAGGTAGCTCTCGAGTGGCCCCCAGTGTTCCCTCTTCAGCTCCAAGCTTGCTTGAGGGTACTTGAGGAGCTTCAGGATTTGGCTGGAAAACTTTGAGGACCTAGAAACCCTCTCAGCCATTTCTCTCTAAAACAAACCAACCAACAAACAGAAAAACCCAGGACTTGAGGAAACCGTGCCAGGACCAGCGGGTGGTGAGGAGGTGAAGGTGTTGGATTCCCACATGGACAACTGTGGTTCGAGTTCCAGACCTGGTGGCTTGAAACTCACACTGGGCTTGTGTACGTGCATTTCCAAAGTACCAGGAGGAGAATGAAGTAGAAGGGGCTGTGGTGTGGCCATTCCCCCAAGGGGGTAATTGCTCATTTTCCCCCTCTCTGTCTCTTTTTGGTGACCACATGTACCCTATGGCCAACAACAACAACAACAAAATTAAAAAGGAGGAAACTGCCTCACCTGTGGCTGCAGCCTAACCCTGGACTTTGGCAGGGACAAGACCATTGATGAGCTAGGGCCATGGGGCTGGGAGGGTCTCTCTAGTGCAGGACTGGCCAGGGACCTGGGGGCAAGATTTGGAGACCTCTCTGGGCATTAAAGAAAATGGGGTTGGGACCAGCAGATGGCATAATGGTTACATCGCTGGACTCCCAGGTAGTCAACCAACTGTAGTTCAAGTCCCAGACCTGGCAGCTTAAAACTCACATTGGGCGCCTGTGCGTGCGTGCCCAAAATCCCGAGAGGAGAATGGAGGAGAAGGGATTGCGGTGTGGCCATCCCCCCTGGGGGGTGATTTCTCACTTTCTGTCTCTCTGTCCCTCTGGTGCGTGCACGTGCCCTATAGCAAAACTCTCTCTAAGGAAAGAAAGATGGAGGAAAGCTGCTGGGAGCCTGAGAGTCAAGGATGGCCTGGAAATGAGCTGAGGCTAGAACCTGTGGGGCAAGAAGTTGGTGAGGGTCCTCAGGCTCTCTAGGCCGTTGCTAGGGGGATCGTGCCTTTGGCAGTCAGGCCTTCTGACAGTGTGGCCCTGGGCACCCCCACGCCAGCACAAACCGCATCCTCTCTCCTTTTTATTTTTTTTTCCAGTCACCTCCCGGTCAGGGGACGGTCCACCCAGTCCTTGCTTGTCCCTGCAACGGTGCTGGATCCAGAGACCAGCGGGTAACAGTGGGACAGGGCCTCCACCTCCCTGGTCAGTTCCCGGAGCCGCCGCCTCACGTCCCGGGCATCATACAGCCTCAGTCTCTGTGTGTCACAGTGGGCTAAGCAGGGGAGTGCGGTCACAGAGGGCTGGGACATTATGTTGAGGTAGCTCTCGAGTGGCCCCCAGTGTTCCCTCTTCAGCTCCAAGCTTGCTTGAGGGTACTTGAGGAGCTTCAGGATTTGGCTGGAAAACTTTGAGGACCTAGAAACCCTCTCAGCCATTTCTCTCTAAAACAAACCAACCAACAAACAGAAAAACCCAGGACTTGAGGAAACCGTGCCAGGACCAGCGGGTGGTGAGGAGGTGAAGGTGTTGGATTCCCACATGGACAACTGTGGTTCGAGTTCCAGACCTGGTGGCTTGAAACTCACACTGGGCTTGTGTACGTGCATTTCCAAAGTACCAGGAGGAGAATGAAGTAGAAGGGGCTGTGGTGTGGCCATTCCCCCAAGGGGGTAATTGCTCATTTTCCCCCTCTCTGTCTCTTTTTGGTGACCACATGTACCCTATGGCCAACAACAACAACAACAAAATTAAAAAGGAGGAAACTGCCTCACCTGTGGCTGCAGCCTAACCCTGGACTTTGGCAGGGACAAGACCATTGATGAGCTAGGGCCATGGGGCTGGGAGGGTCTCTCTAGTGCAGGACTGGCCAGGGACCTGGGGGCAAGATTTGGAGACCTCTCTGGGCATTAAAGAAAATGGGGTTGGGACCAGCAGATGGCATAATGGTTACATCGCTGGACTCCCAGGTAGTCAACCAACTGTAGTTCAAGTCCCAGACCTGGCAGCTTAAAACTCACATTGGGCGCCTGTGCGTGCGTGCCCAAAATCCCGAGAGGAGAATGGAGGAGAAGGGATTGCGGTGTGGCCATCCCCCTGCCCCAGGGGGTGATTTCTCACTTTCTGTCTCTCTGTCCCTCTGGTGCGTGCACGTGCCCTATAGCAAAACTCTCTCTAAGGAAAGAAAGATGGAGGAAAGCTGCTGGGAGCCTGAGAGTCAAGGATGGCCTGGAAATGAGCTGAGGCTAGAACCTGTGGGGCAAGAAGTTGGTGAGGGTCCTCAGGCTCTCTAGGCCGTTGCTAGGGGGATCGTGCCTTTGGCAGTCAGGCCTTCTGACAGTGTGGCCCTGGGCACCCCCACGCCAGCACAAACCGCATCCTCTCTCCTTTTTATTTTTTTTTCCAGTCACCTCCCGGTCAGGGGACGGTACACCCAGTCCTTGCTTGTCCCTGCAACGGTGCTGGATCCAGAGACCAGCGGGTAACAGTGGGACAGGGCCTCCACCTCCCTGGTCAGTTCCCGGAGCCGCCGCCTCACGTCCCGGGCATCATACACTATTCGGCCTGAGGAGCGGCGCCGGGGGAATTCAGGGACACTTGCTGGGCCCAGGACAGGCGGCGAGGCAGGCTGGCACTGCGCACCCTCTGCCTCCGCCCCACTGTTCTTGTGGCTCGGGGCTTCGGGGCTGGGAGGCGGGGGGTTCACAGGGTACACGTAGGCCTCCAGGCCGAGCTCCGAGCGGATCTCTGTTTTCAGGGGCCTCTCTTCCACAGTGGATTGGAAGTGGCTGGTCTGTGGAGGGGGCTCTGGAGCATCCTGTGTCCAGGGAGCCCAGCCCCTCTGGGCATGCTGGAAGCCCTCCCAGTCCTGGGAGCCATCCCAGTGGTGGGAGCAGATTGCTGGGTACCGAGGTGGGGGCTTCTCGTCATCAGTGTCAGGGGCCCAAGCTACCGGGCGGCGAGAGCGACATGTCAGAGAGCCACGGTGGCGCCGGCGACGAGTGGGTGGGGGGGTCACGGTCATTTTCACAGGGTCCATGGTGCATCGGAGATGAACTGCAGGGGTGTTGTGCTTCTTTGAGGGCTGGGGCTGCTTCTCAGGTGAGGATGACTTGGGAGCCTCTGTGGATGGGGAACGGTGAGGGAGGCCAGTGGGGAGGCCGGCTCCTACAGGGATGGAGAGGAAGGCCCCGGGAGAGAAGCTGCACCGCGGTGGTGGTGCCTGGGACGGGAGAGCTGGGAGGGACGGAGCCAGCATGGGACCGGGGCTGGAATGCCTGCCGTCTGCCTCTCCAGCGCCCCAGCTCCTGGGCCTGCTTACCTTTCTCACAAACAATATGATGGAACACTTGGTGTAGGATGCCACGGAGTCGGCTCCAGAGCTAAGTGAGGAAGAACAGAGTGACCCAGTGCTCCCCGGCCACCCCCCTGCACCCTCCCGCCTGCCCTGCCCTGACCATGGCCGCCATATTGATGCTAATGTTGATGCAGATGATAAGGCCCAATAGCAGCAGGATGGAGTTGCCCAGGTCCTGGCAGTTGTTGGTGTTGGGGTTTTGATATGAGGCCCACCCCGGCCGGGACCGCTCAGCCATAGCCATGGGGGTCCTTTGGGCCACCAGGGCCCTTAGGCCCCCAGCCCACTGTGCCCACAGTGTCCACCAGGCCTCCTACCTATCCCAGAGGGTCCTGGGGGTAAACGGGTCACAATGCTGCTGGGGCTCTCCCTCACAATGTACCCCGCGGCTACTCTGAGTCCAGGGCCCATGATCAGATCCCAGCTGAGCCCAGGCCTTCACCTTTCCTGCCTCTCCTGTAGATGGCCTGCTCAGCCTCTGACCTGTTCCACCTCTGCCCTCCCAGAACCACCCCAGGTTCTGGTCTCTCAGACAAGTCCTGATCGTCCCAAATGATCCTGTTGCCCGAGGCAACCTCAAGTCAGTGCCCATTCCCCCTTCTGCTCAGACCTAGACCTCTTCCCTGAAAAGAGGGGCGGTGGGTTAAGGCTCCTTTCCCCCTCAGTCACTTCCCCCCAGGCTTGTTTCCACAGAGACCACCCACTCCTTCCAACAGCACAACAGGCACGACCAACAGTTAAACTTTTATATTTACAATATTCTCTTCATCTTTTGCCAGGTTTAAAAATGTGTACAGAGCCGCAAAGGGTTGGGATGGGGACAGGGTTGTTCTGGGGAGAGGGGCTGGGCATTGGAGTCCGTGGCTGAATCATGGGGTTCCCCCAGCCCCCCTCCCATGCCCCAGTTCTGGGGGCATCTGTCTACAGGGTTCAGGGCCCAGGTCTCTAGCATTTGGAGGGCATGGCTGTTTGGAGAGGAGCTAGACCAGGCAGGAGACGGGGCAGAAAAGAACTAAGTTTCCATGGGTGGAGGTGGGAGAAGGGACAGTCTAGAGGCAAAATTCAGGGGACTCAAAACCAGGATTCTGGATCTGGGTGTCAGTGGAAGACAGCACCCCACCCCCTACTCAAGTTTGGCACTGGCATCCTGCAAAATGCCAGTGGCTAAGGATTCTCTCCTCCATTGCTGGGGTCCCTTAAAACGCTTCCCAACACTGTTTCCCCCCCAGAGGCTCAAACTCCAGGACCTTCCTTGCAGATCCTCCCCGCCGTGTCTGCCCCAGTTCCGTCCCCCACTGCCCCTTCCATCTGCGCCTCAGCACAGCAGACCCCGTTCTGTCCCAGCCTGGCCAGTGAAACCTTTCTCCCCTGCTCGCCTCCCTCCCAACCTCCGCTCCATGCTCCTTCTCTGTCCTGCCGAACAAGGAAAGGGGGGCAGGCTAAAGAAGGGAGGTGGTCAACTGAGGAGAGAAGGCTGGTCTGACCCTGGGATGGGGACCGTTCCAAAGAGGGAGACAGAGAGGGAGGTGGACGGGGATCTGAGAGGGAAGGATAACACCATGACACAAATTGGGGGCCCCCTTAGCTGCCACATCCCCCTGCCGTGGCCCAGGACTGGGGAATCCCTGGCACATCTTAGGGGGGTCTTTCCTCCTCAAACCCACCTACCCCGTTTGGCACAGATGAGCAATGATCTGAAGACTGAGGGAAAGGCTGTCCTCAGACCCCGATGAGGCTTTGGTCAAACATGCATGGCCTCTGTGGGTGGCACGTGCCCCACGCCCCTCCCCAACTTGGCATCTCTGGGGGAGAAAGGCAAGAGCCCCCCTCAGGGTGGTACACCCCCCAGCTCCTGTCGATCCGAAGTCTGTTCCCACCTGCTGCGTCAGGAGGACCCTGGTGCTGGGCCTGAAGCTGGGGGGAGGCAGGAAGGGCTGAGGAGGGGGACCCTCTGCCTGGGAAAACACACATCCACATGCAAGGACGAGCTTCCTGTCGGAGAAGCATGTCCTGAATCACGGGAGAATATGTTTCCAGGCAGCACTGGGGTGCACAGACCTCCCCGCTCCCCCGGCAGGAAATCTGTGTCCTCTGGGTGGCGAGGGCCTCCCTGGGAGAAGGGCTTGGTGGGAGCTGCAGGGGAAAACATGCTTCGCCGCGGGTGGGGCGGGCGAGGCGGGCGAGGGTGCTGTGATTTCCTGGCTGCTTCTCAGGCTCCACCCTGTGTGGTCTGGTGGCCGAGGGTCACTGTACCAGAACATCCCACTTCCAGGGTCTCCAGGGGGTGGGGAGGCGGGTGGGAGTGGGAGAAGGCATGAGGGAACAGGATCCCGGGATACAAATCCCCGCAGAAATTCTTAGAGGGGGCCAACATGTGTCCAGGGCGGCAAAAAAAAACCTCACCCTGCACATGGGAAAACACCCCCTTGTGAGAAAGCACACCTCCACATTTCCACACACCGAACACTGGTGTCCCAGAGGAGGGGAAAAAACACCCTCCAGTTGTTCAAAGACCCAGGTCCAGAGAAGAGAAAGGGCCTCTCTGCATGGGAAAAGCACGCGTCCCAGCGAGGAATCCCATGTCCACCGTAGCGCTGCTCCATGACGTGCGACGACTCCACAGGAGAAACGCCTGTCGCCAAGTCCTCCTCCCTGCCTTCGGGTGGCCCGGCTGGGGAGGGCCGGGGAGGAGGGCCTCCCCAAACCGCCCCCTATACCCGAGTAGTGGAGTGGGGGTGGGGTAGCGTGTTGTTGTGGCTGGTAGCGGTGGGCGGAGGTGGAGGGAAGGGGCGGGGCCCCCGGGCCACTCGGCAGCAGGGTCAGGGCCCCGGGGGCCAAGAGAGGCACATCGTCCGGTGCCCGGCGCAGGGCCAGGGTGTAGTCGGGTGGGCAGGCGGGGCGCAGGGCCTCAGCAGGGTCCGCTCCGACACCCCCACCGCGCTTCAGCTGCAGTGACACCAGCTCCTCCTCTGGTGGCAGCTCTCGGCCGGCAGCAGGGAGCAGGGGGCCCCCACCAGGCACACCGGAGCCCGAGCCCCCAGGTGGGCTAAGCCGCCTGCACCGAAGCTCCTGCCGCCGGTCCCGCTTGTAGTAGAGGGCAGCGAAGGCCAGGATGTTGAGGAACAGGAGGGAGGCGCCCACGGCCACGGTGACGCTTAGCTCCGTGGAGTAGTCCCGTGAGTCCCCGGGGAAGCGGGCAGAGGCCCTCGGGCCCGGCTCAGGCTCAGGCTCG